ATCTAATAAATAAATAGTGTTTATTATTTTTGTTGTCAATTCTCAAGAACAAAAAAAAAAATGTATAAAAATCACTTTCATATGTTTAAGTTTTATTCCAATTCTAATTATCGCTTTTTAAAACAATGAACATTGACGAAGAGGAAAGGTAGTTAAAAAAAAAAGCAGTTTCATGGAAAAAAAACTGTCCTTTTGACACTATGTCTTATTGTAGGTACATTTATCCATGTTTGTCAATTCTTCAAAAGAAGATCTTTTATTTACTTCTGAATTTTGAGGTCAACTTGTAGACTTATGCAGCATCATGGTATTTGTTTCTTAATTTGCTTTCTATTTTCCTCATTTTTTCTTTGTCTTTGCCTTCCTGTGGTCAGAATATCATCAGTTATTTTAGCGCTACAAAAATCTAAATATCTGGGAAGTGTTTTAACAGAGGACAGAAAATGTGATATCGAAATCCAAAGGTGAATTGGGATAGTGAAACATGCCTTCCAAAACCTAAGCAAAGTATTAAGAAATAGGAAAATTTTGTTGGAAACAAAGAAAAGAGTATTGAATTGTTATGTAATATTAGTCCTCCTATATGGCAGTGAATGCTAGACAATATCCCCACAGATGAAGAGGAGACTTTAAGCGACAGAAATGTGGTTCTACAGAAAGATGTTGAGAATACAATGGACTGAATATGTGAACAATTATGAAGTTTTAGAGAAAATGAAAATGGAAAGGCGCTTAAACATAACAACAGGAAGAGATGGCTGAAATTTCTAGGGCACAGAATGAGGAAGGAGGAATTAGATAATTTAACACTCACAGGACATTGAAGACAAGTGGAACAAAGGAAAGCAGTGTATAACGTATCTAACAAGCTTGTGTAAATGTTTAGCAGAACAGGGACTAGAAGTAGCAAAAAAACAAACTTTATTAAGAGCTACAAAATACAGGAAATTGTGGAGAGCCATGATTGCCCACGTCCTGAAGGGACATGGCACATAGAAGAATTAATAAGATGTCAAGGAAAGATAAGTGAATATACATAATATCCCATGTTGATGTATATTCACTAATATATACATAATAGCTCTGTTATATAACAATGAGCACTGTTTTTATAACAACTAAGAAAAATATATATATGTATGTGCAAGTATATGTGCGTATACATGTTTTTTATCATATATATATATATATATATATATATATATATATATATAGTGCAGGTAATAGATACATTGGTATATAATCAAGGTGGATCCTAGTAATATCAGATATTAAAACTAATCCACAGAAAGAGCTCAATGTATTTATTATAAAGTCAGTCTAAGGCTGAAGAAGACTGGCATAAAGTTGTGTCGGTTTGAAGTAGACTTTAGCCACAGGAGGTAATCTTGGATTTTTTGCTGTAGAATATATATATATATATGTGGTTCTATATGGTTATATATATATATATATATATGTGGTTCTATATGGTTATATATATATATATATGTGGTTCTATATGGTTATATATATATATATATATATATATATATATATATGTGGTTCTATATGGTTATATATATATATATATATATATATATATATATATATATATATATATATATATATTATATGCATATATTTTTTAATTTAAAGAAAAACCAGACAACTTTAATGTTCTTTTGGGTATAAATTTATTTCCCCAGGGAGTTTCTTTTTCCCTGGATCAACAGACCTCACTTCCAAGGATGAAAAAATGAATTTAAACTTATACTTTTGAAGGGTAGTATTAAGCTGATGTAATGTGATATAGAGAGTGGTGAGAGATAGTATGACAGATATGGTTGAAATTAGAGAGGGAAGGGAGAGATAGGAATGCTTTTAAATTTATTTTTATTACAATACTTAATGGGGAGGATGTGGGTTAAGTATCAGACATTGACCTATTTAATAGATCAACTCACTGGACAGAAACAATATAAAAAGAAAAAATGGGGAGAAATAAAGATGTAAGAATTAAGTGATGAACTTAGGATTTTATATATATATATATATATATATATACACACACACACAAATGAAGAAATATAGTTTTAAGGTATGCTATGATTATGGGATAAAAGGGAAAATATTTTTCAAATTACTTAAACACTTCCACAAAAATTCTGAATTACACAAAATCTTAAAAAAAAAACGTAGTTAAATTAAGCTACAGCTGCACTAGTAATTTAGAAACCACAATAAACAGACAAAATGCCATGAATTTCAAAACTAACATTCAGGAAGTTATTGTTAACAGTGAAACATGTAAATGCAGAAATAAAAGTAGATATCCACCAGATGGAATTTGCAAAACTGAAGGAGTAATTTATAAAGCAGAAAAAGATACAAATGGCCAAACCAACATTTACATAGGATATACTGAAGGCAGCTTCAAGAGCAGATGCTATAATCACAAGTTGTCATTCAAGCTAGAAAGACTTAGGAATTCTACCTGACTAGCCAGCCATGTGTGGCAATTAAAAGAAAAAATTAACAAAGATCCTATTGTAAACTGGGAAATATTAAAAAAACCAAACCTTATAACACACATTATTATATGCAATCTTTGCCAGGAAGAAAAGTTAACAATAATATTTCCAGCCCAGAAAAACCATCTGAATGAGATTATATGGTTATTTCTATTTCTGATAAGTATATCTAAGAATGGCAGTTCATTAAAATTATATTCTTGGGTGAATTTGATCTTTGGGTGGAAGTTTTGGAGTAGATTGTGTAATTGGCTAATATCGTCCATGAGGATTTCCAGAAAATGAAGCAATCATCTAAGTATCACTTCCAAGATTTAGTGAAGTTGGTTTTTATATTTTCCCCATATATTTGTTCTATCTTTTCATAGAGGTTTTCTTTTAGGTAAGCTAATGTTAGGGTGGTATATGTTGGTACCATTTTCATTCCCATATATATATCTATAATTCTCAAAATGTGTGTGTATGTGTGTGTGTGAGATTGGATGTTGTTTATGCATTTCCACAGTTTTCATCTGATTTTGATGAAATTTTTTTGTTTGATAGATAATTCTTCAGTGCCATTTTGAGTCCAAATTGGATGAAAAAAAATTAAACCTTGAAGATGAAAAATCGAAAAAACTGATTTTTTACACTGTGTGCAAAAAGCAAAGGCAAAATTTAATGTCTGTAAAAAACAGCATACAATCAATTTAGAGAGTTGAAATCTAATGCAAAAGATTATTAGAATTATAAAAAAAAAATTATATTATAAATAAAAATTATCGTATATTATTATTATTATGATGGTCCATGGAAGAGGAGAATGCAAGATTGAGAATGTAAAAATGACCCTTTTCAGGGCCACCACCCCCATTCAAATTGTTACCCTGATCCCATTTGGGGATATGCCTCAGTTGCACCCAATTATTGTTACTAATATTGATTTTCAGGTGGGCTGACTTTAAACTTGAACGGTTTCAATTGAACAGCAAAAATTCCCAGTAATGAAATACCTGGTCGAAGACGGGTTATACTGCTAGTCTAAAGTTATGCAATCAGTAAATTTGCTGAAGTTCATATTTATTTTTTTTTTTCTGAGTACTTTTGAATGTTGCTACATTTGTTTTCAAGGATTGTCTTTTGTGTATGTTTATGTAACTGTTATTGGTTAATGTGAAAACATCAGAATTAACCAATAACAGTTAAACATGTACAAAACACAATCCTTAAAACGAATGTCACAACATTCCATAGTACTTGGGGAGGGGGGGGGTGAATAAAATAAACATATATGGCAGTCACAATGTAAGCCGAAACAGAATTTTATATGGGAAGTTGAATATTTAGAATTTATTGAAAGCTTGAACAGCAAGCATAAATTATGATTTTTTTGAAAAAATATAACTTCCAACAAAAAAAAAAAAAAAAAAACAGTGGTTAAAAAAGAAAAAACAAAACAAAAAAAAACAGTGATTCAAGCAGCCAATCAGGACATTTCCTGTTTTTCTTTGTTAAATGGAAATTTTGGTTAATAGTGACTTTTTCCTGTTCTTATTTTTTCACTTTCCATTTAAAATTTTTCATTAGATTTTATGTCTGTTTACTTTCTCTTTTATTAATGTTGGAGAATTAGCACATATTTTTTTGAACATTAAAAAGTTGTCATAAAACTGACAAAACAATGTTGAAATTTTAACCTAATTTAGATTACCTCAGTTGAATCTTCATTTAAAAACTATTTTAATTGTATTGGAAAGGGTTTCAGGAACCAAATATTTTTTCAATACCTTATAAAAAGTTCTCAGATAAGTGTGACTGTAAAGGCCTTTATCTTGTACAGGGAATTCTTTTAGGATTAAAATTGTCACCATATTCATATTCACACCCATAAAAAGAACATTATTGGGTTCAAACAAAGGCCTTTGATACAGCAAGAACTTTGTGTCCTCCTACAATAGAGTATATAAAGTAAATGTTACCGGTAAAGAAAATTATATAATCAAGATTTTTTTTAATCAATTCGTCCCAAGCAAAGTGACAATGCCACTAAGGTGCAAGGGGAGTGAAAGAGAAGATTTTAAAAGGAACCAGAAACCCAGCCCAGAACAGGAAACAATTGATAAACCATTACTCCTGTTCAAAAGACCAGAGAGCTGTGTGAACTGGATGATAGGAGAACCTATTTAGATAAGTTCTATCATACTGTTCCTATTAAAGGAGAAAAAATAAATTTTAAATAAAATTTCAGATTGGTTATTTTTGTTAGCAGCATATCAACCTCTATGGGTTATTTAAATCTAAATATTTTGTACACAATTTTATTTATTTACTTTTTCTTTGGAGATAATGGTTTTAGTGATACAAGTTTTACTAATTAACCCATAGCTGGGGGATAACAAGTGGATTCATACATTTTCCAATAGTATTTACACATAAGCAAATTTAATCAGAATTGGAACTCTGCTCTCTGATTAACAATTTTGAGCCATTATCCATTATGCCACATATACTGCATCTGGTATTCCCAAGCAGTCATCCATCTAGGTACTGACCTGGCTTGATGTTGCTTAACTTCAGTGATCATACAGGAACCAGTGTTTCAATGTGATATGGCTGTAAGCCTTAAAATTTCAGAGATTAGACAGAGGCATTAGAAGTAGGGTTAAAGTAGATTTTAGAAGGAACTGGAAACTCAATACTGAATAGGAATCAAGGGATAAACTTCTCCTGTGCCAAAAACTTTTCACACTATCAAAAAAAAGTTTGGAAGTAAAAACTCATCAGTATTAGAAAAAGCCACAATCTTTAATCTGGCACTCTGTGATCTGGCACTTTTTTTTTTTTTATGGTCTTGGTCATTTCTTATATATAGCTGCATATTTATCTATTCAGGATAGTAAGTATATATTCTTTTTTGGCTTTAGGGTATTTTACATTCTAAAAACATGCAAATACTCTTGAAAAAATATGAATCCATTTATTCCCCCCAGATATGGGTTGAATAGCAGGATTCACTAGGTCCTATAGCCTTGTTTGGTAACCAGTCTACCACAGAAAGTAACAGCTAACTACTGTGGGAGAACCTTCTGCTTCGTCATGAATCAAAAGAGACATGACAGCTCAAGTGTGTATCATGTATGGTACTTAATTGACTGACTGCATGAAATAATAAAAACCTTCTTTGGAAACATTAATGATTGTTTCACATACTCATTTTTTATATATTCAGTCTAATTTCTTTGTTTGCTTCAGCCACTACTGCTAAAATCTTGGATGAGGTGATCACACACTATCACATTACAACTGAAATTGAGTTCAGTGAAAACTGAGTGTCCTACAATTGTGGTCTTGTGCCAAGTTATGAAATAAATAGTATATAGCTATAATGGATATCTTATAGATTTAATGGTCAGCAAATTAACTTTGTAAACTGTTACTACTGCAGTTAATTCAAACTTTATCACACTTGTATCATGTCAGAAAATAGATAGTTTTGGGAAAGAACATATCCTGCTTGAGTGAAATGAAATGATGGCAATGTTTAATCTTTGTACTTGCAAAAGAAAAAAAATCAGTGTGCCCAAAGGATGGTTATTCCTTTGACACCACTATTCCACTTTCGACTCCTTTGGTAATGTTTATTTACAAGATTATAAAAATATGTAAACCAAGTGCCATGTGATATTTATTATTTAGCATTTTATTAAGAAATGAAATATTTTTATTCAAAATTGTATAAAATACAGCGTGTCCATAAAGTCTCTTTACAATTTAAAAAATATAATTACAAAGACGTCACTCCCCTGGACTACTTTCTATGCTCTCATGTTAAAGAGATAATGTATTGAACAAAAATAAGGGACATCACTTATCTAAAGTAAAAGATCACTGATGTCTTTGCCATCACTGATGAGGCTATGCTACAGTGAACATGACAAGAAATCAAGCAATGTCTTGATGTGATTCATACAACTAATGGTGCCCATATAGTGGTGTATCGAAGTAGTTAAAAAAAACTTCAATATCTACTCCTTATTTAGAAAAAATTTTCAAATATTTGTCTGTTCATTTGCTTTTGTAATAAATTTTATGAACACCGTGTATTCGAAAATCATTAAAATATGTAAACCAGCTATAATGAAATATTATTTACCATTTTATAAATAACTATAAAACAAGAAAATTTGAATAAATAAATTAAAAGAATGTGTGGGGAAAAATGAAATAAAATCAATAAATAAAATAATAAATAATAAAAAGAAAAAGAAAAGGAATACAATTTCCCATTATGCTAGTAATAAAGGAATTGGAAATCTGATTACCCCACTTTGTTTCATTAAATGTCCATTAGGTGGTGCTGATTAAGTTCTATAAAAAGACAAATATTTCCTTCCTCTAAGATGTAGTAGTATGTAGACAAAGAGGAAGATGTTCCTGCTGGGAAACATTTGTTGCCTTGGTCCACTGATGACTGAACTCTCTTTCCAATGCATAGTGTTTGCATGTGTCTTCCTATGAAGTAAATTAGCCTTTTCTTTGGTCATTCCAACTCAGCACAAGGCTGACTTGAACTTGACCATTATAACCATATTTATGACATTCCAAAACTTAATTCTGGACCAGAAAAAGAGACTCTCTTCCACTTTCTAACACAGCATTCACATGTCTGAAACTCACAGATGAAGACAAATTTTAGTTCAGTTGTTACAATTCAGTGCAAGGCTGACTTGAGCTTGTCTCTCACACCAACAATTACTCTTACTTATCCAAACTTCTGGATCAAATAAAGAAAATGGAAAAACCCAAGAGACACTGAGAACTTTGTCTCACTACAGCTTATATAAAAAGAGAATAAATGGTCCATATTAGAAACCCAAATTTTTTATGCTTTTTTTAATTGTTTACATGTGAACATGCACACACTCAAAATATATACCAAATAACAACCTTTTAAATTTCATGTTTGGTTAAAAGGAAGAGATGCTCTCAACTTATTTTTACAAATTTATGTGGTAAGAGCAAACGAGGGAAATGCCTAGAAAATGCATTTTTAAAAAAAATTGTTTAATTACAGTTACCTGCTGTTATGTATTTATTTAGATCTCCTTATTCACAGACTTTTAATTTATGAATAAGAAAAATTATTTTCATAGTTATTTCTTTATAAAATGGTAAATAAATAATTTATTATATTTGATTCACATATTTTTATAATGTTGTAAATACAAAATTATTCTTGTAAATAAGCAAACTAATAAATAAATAATGTTTAGTATCTTTATTGTCAATTCTTGAAAATAAAGAAAATGTATAAATTCCCTTTCATGTTTGGGTTTTTATTAAAATTCTAATCATTGATTTTTAAATCTTCAGGGTAGTCAAATGGCTATATGGTAATAGCAGTGTCAAGGGAATAACAGTTCTTTTGACACACTATTTATTTGCAGGTATGATGGTTAAAAATTCACCACAATATGCATGACCTGACAGCATATAAGTAAGTAAAATCTTGAATCGTTTCAGCAGGAAAAATGTTTTGTCTCTTCAATCACCAGATTTTGCAACATCAGATTTTCACTTGTTTGGGTTTGGGCAAAACAATTTTGATGGATAAAGACTTAAAAGAGACCTTGCAAGTAAATTAATGGTCTCACTAAATTCCAAATTGAAAAATTTTTAAAGTCAAGGACTGGTGGCTCAATGGGGGTTACAGAAAATCAAGAGACATATTGATGATTAAATTAGTAAAGTTTATGAATAAACAAATAAAAATAGAACTATTCTTACTATTCTTTGATGCAATACTTAAATACTGACAAAAGCAAAAGCAAAAAAAAAAAAATTTTGTAATAAATATTTAAATTTCAAGGGGTAAATTCCATAACATAAGTGTCACTTTCCAAGGAAATTCTAACTGTAATGAGCATTTTGTTTTTTGTTTGACAGATGGAAAAAGCTGAAAAAGAATTCTTCTGTAGAAATTTTCACGCAGTAAGCAACAAACATCAAAGAAATGTATACAGGGTTTATTATAAACAACTTGACAAATGGAAATCTTTTCTCAGTAAATATTCTCTATACTCTTAGAACATGTAAGAAATTCCATGATTGTGTGCACGCCTGTAATAGTAGTAGTAATAGTTACAGTAGGTTTCTTGGTTCACTAACTGCAGACATATTCTTATTCTTTTTGGCAAAAGGATTTTAGATTTAGGCACAAGAATTGTAGCAATAAGGATTCACTCTTGAAAAAGTGATGCATTACAAAATGATTTTTTTAATATTTATTTTTCTTTATGAGACTGGATTTCACCATGGGTAAGTCTATCTCTAAAATACCAGAAAGGATCGTTGTATATATTTTTTGCCAGATACAGAAAAACAAGAGAATCCTGTATGGATTTGAACCTCTGATCTGGAGTTAACCAAATGACATATCCACTATGACAGCATACTTCTACTGGAATAGCATGGGGGAAATGGACTTGAAAATATAAAATGAAGCACACTGATACTAGGCAGAGGGCCAGGGAGTGATATTTTGATCGTAGGCAGAGCTCACTGATCCTAAGTCAAAGTGCTGATCATACATAAACAATCCTGTCTTCTCTTTGAATGTGTACTATGTATATTTAATCTTGCTTGGGAAGTCTTTTTAATAATAGTAAATACTTATAATATGCAGTCAATTTTAATAGCATTGATAAAAATCATGAAAGAATAATTCAAGGCGATTGCTTTAAAAGAGAAAAGTTATCAAACTAGCCTCATAACATTACTATATTTGTAAATTCAATCCTTACTGAGTGCCTTACATTTATGGTCTTGTGCCAGACTAAGTTAAGGTGGATAAATACTTGTCTGAAAGATACACTTCCCATCAGTGTTCAAATTCAAGTAAAACTAGGATCAGAAATGCCAATTTTCTAGGCAGGATAGCACTTCCGACTTGAAAGATTGGTTTAACAATCTTCTATGTTCCTCCTATATGACCTTGAGAGAAGTTCAACTTTGTAAAAAAAAATAAAAATAGTGTTAATGGAAGATTATCCATAAATCATTGAAAATGATGTGATAAAAACAACAACAAAAGATGACAGTTTGAATGATTTAATGAGTGTCAATGATACCTCATCTCACAAACATTGAGCCAAAGGTATTTGGGAATTGCAAAAATAACTTATGATTAATGTAAACACATTATCAAATTTAAGAATATTTTGAACAATCAAAATAATAACAATAATATTAATAAATAGCAGCCAATGTTAGATATATCCAGGTCAGTGTACTGATTGCAAGCACAAGAACGAAACATTTCAGAAAAAAAAGAGGGCAATTAAAAAAAAGGGATTTTTCAAAGTTTGCAAACTTCCAAAACAAGAAATCTGAAGATGAATAATTAAAAAAAATCATTTGAAAAAAAGAAAGAAAAATCAAAGTAAAAATGAAAATCAATTTATGGCAGGTAACAGGATCTGGCTTGAGATCTGTGGCAAATATTGTCGTGCACTCATTTAAAGAATAATTGGCATGGATCTCATCCAAATTTTGTTTCTGTTGATTACAAAATACCTTGTCTATTTGATAAACAAAGGATAAGACTAGCTAGCCCTGAA